AACAGGGAGAGGGGAGGGGAGAGGGGAGGAAGGAGGGAGTCTAGGAAGGAAAGAAGGAAGGCAGGCAGGGACAGAGGGAGGAAGAGAAGGAGGGAGATAGTGAGGAAGGGAGATAGCAAGGGAGGGAGAAGGGAGGCCCTATGCAGCGGAGCTCTGTGCTAAGGACTCCAGCTCTTGACCAGGCTGTTTACAACTCTGCCTCAGGCTGCACCTCTGCCTACACAGAGCCTAGACACTGGCCAGAGGCAAAAGGCCTTCTCAGGTCTCTTTTGTGCCTGTGTCGAGCTCCGGCTTTGAAAGCGGCTTTCAGAATTTCCCAATAAACATGGCACTTGTGAATGCTCTACTTTTCCAAAGAAATTAGATACAATATGCAATCACCTAATACTATTTTCAATGACAGAATTGAGACATGTTTTCTTTCATTTACGTTCACTCTAAAGTGATGATTACATTGGGCAAATGATGCACTGGATTAAAGGTGTCTTGCTGACCTCTTACTGTGAGCTTGCTGTATAGTTGTGAATTCACCTCCTTGTCTCGCTGAAAACGCCGAAATTCATCCATTGCTTCCCTCATAATAGTAACAGCCAAGACAAATCCCTACAAAACAAAAAGAAATAAGGTAATGGAGAAAACTTGAAAAAAGGAAGGGAAAGTTCTTTTTCACGATCTGGTTTTACCTTCCCCTCAATTTACAGTTGACTCTTGAACAACATGGGTGTGACCTGTGCAGGTCCACTATGCGCAGGTTCTCTCAGTAAACATCTGCTCTGTTTCCCATCTGTGGCTGAGAATCGTGGATGTGTGGGGGGGGGGCAACCACATGTATTGTTCTAGTCCATTCTACAGAGGGGACTTGAGCATTCCTGCATTTTGGTATCTGCCAGGGTCCTGGAATCAATCCCTGGTGGATGCCAAGGGACAACTAAGTTTTGGGGACGTCAGAAGTTACGGATTTTCGACTGTGTAGGGACCTAACCCCTGTGTTGTTCAGGGGTCAACTGTATATTATTTCTAAAATATAAAATAAATGAAAACAAAGAAAAAAGACAAAAAGTAACAAAGAAACACTATAAATGGCATATAATACACAGTAACAGATTTATAATTTGTACTATCCGCAAGACAATTTTTAAAATTCACATCATAATATGTACTTCAAGCTACATACCGGAAAATACTTAGTAACCCAAAGTAAAAAACAATCTTCAATAAATCCAATAAATCAGATTTGGAACATTCAAGCATTCAAATACCAAATTAACAAAGACTGACATAAAACTCTTATAATTTCTGCACTTAAACCTTATCTCTGATAGAATGAAAGCATTTCGGAACATAAAACCATTCCGAGGTATGACACGTCTGATCAACTTCCTCACCCAGCGCACTGACCTGCAGCACACTGGAGAGCACAGGCAACCAGAGCTTCCTCCCATTTCTCAGGTAAAAGCCTGAAGAGATTACACTGATGCTACCTAAGTAAAACTTTTATGTACTTATAGTCTATTATGAACTGTTGTCACACTGCTAACATGTGACTAACGTCCATCTTTTTTAAAGGCTACGTTTGTGTTTTCTGACACCCATTCAAGCCAACCTCCCATGATTAAATAGAGACCCCTTCCTCAGGCTCCATGTTACTGACAAACATGCTTCAGTCTATCTATAAACACGCTGATGGATGAATTTCCACCGAAAGGATAGTCATCTTTTATTCCAGCTTTTTTCTGTACAACCAAAAGGCTAAATTAAGTGGGCCACTGGAGCGTGTTTCTGGCATTTACTGAATTGCACCCCTTTTTATGCAGTCTCCCCAAATGCTGGTGTGGGCTCCAGCCTTGTCCTCGTAGCCCAGCGCTCCCCTCACCTGTAAGCATCGGTCTGGACCTCTGCAGTACAGCCATCACCTCTAAGTAATGTTGTGACTCCTCTCCTGTACTTGCGTCCATCACTCATCACCTAGTGCAGGTCATGCTCTCCAAACATGCCTGGGCTGGACCTCCACCTACGGACACATGGCCCCGGCTCAGACCCTCCTTAGGTCTCACCCACAGCCATCAGTCTCCCACCTCCAGCCTCATTCCCTCAAAACCACCTTTCCCCACGTTACCAGTGTCTTCTACGATACAATCTGGCAAATGTATGGCGAAATCCTCCTCCAGGGATGGTCCCCAGCAATTCACTGCCCCAAACCCTCAATAGCTCCCACTGATCACGCTCCTTTCACTAAAGTATGACCTTCAGAATGGATAGCTCTGGAGCCTCACCACCCTCTCCAGGATGCTTTTCTCTCCAGCACCGGGGACTGTCAGCAGTCTCCTGAAGCCCCTTCCTGTACCTTGGTTGGTCTTTGCCAAGGTACTTCCAGGGGTTGCGAACAGCGCTATTTTGAAACTTATTCTAAAGTCACTCTTGGAATCACTGAGGAGAGAGCTGTAAACAGTTGGGGATGTGGCCCATCTGCAGAGGGAGGTGGGCACAGTGTGCACCATGAATCTGCATGGCCTCCACTGAAGGTAATGGCTGATGAGCAGTTTGACCCCCGTCTAGGCCATTTAGCACACTTTAAAAAAAAGTTTTGTTGAGATATAATTCACATGCCATAAAATTAACCCCTTTTAAAGTATACAATTCATTTTTTCAGTAATTCAGACTTACGCCACCATCACCACCATCTAATTTTAGAGTATTTTCATAACCCCCCGAAAAGGCCCAGTACTCAACATCAGTCCCCCCCACCCCCCTCTGCTCCCAGCCTGGCAACCACTGATCTGCTTCCTGTCTCTACAAATTTGCCTCTTCTGGGTGATATGGTAACTCTGTGTTTAGCATTTTCATGAAATGCCAAACAGGTTTCCAAAGTTGCACCATTGTTCACACACTTATTGGCCACTTGTACATCTTCTTTAGAGAAATGTATATTCAGACCCTACACCCACTTTTTAACTAGGTCCTCTTTTAAATGTTAAGTTTTAAGAGTTCTTTATATTATTTTGGAGACAAAGGCCTTGTCAGATATGATTTACAAACACGATGTCACGAGTATCTTCTTCTGTTCGCTGTACTTTCCCAGCGGGTCCTCTGGTGCATATAGGCTTTCACCTGGATGAAATCCAGTTAACTTCTTCCTTTTGGCACCTGGGCTTTAGTGCCCAAGATCACAAAGACTGAGCTCTAGGTTTCCTTCTGAGAGTCTTCTAGCTTTAGATCTTTCACTTAGGTCTAGGATCCATTCTGAGTTACTCTGCATATGACACGAGGAAGGGGTCCAACTTCAGTCTTTCCATGTAGCTGTCCAGCTGTCCCAGCACCATCTGTTACCATGTGTCTTACCGTGGGACTGTGAGGGCTGATTCTGTTTCCTTTCCGTGCTCCACCCACTCCAATGCACAGACTCGGGGGAAACAGTGGACAGAGGAAGACCTTCGAGTCAGACTGGACCTCAGGGTCCTGATGAAGCACTGTCCTCCACACAGCCTGTCTGGCTGCCCTTAGGTGCTAACGACGTACCAGGAGGACACCGTACACAGAAGACGCAGTTAGGAATCTACTTTCACCACCTAGAAATCTCTGCCTGGACAGCTCGCGTCCACCTCATTAATTGACAGAAGCATTACAGTCTGCTTTGCTACTTGGATTCCACTAGCTCTGCCTTGAGGAATTACTCTGAAAGCTGAATGATATGAAAGGAATCTTCCTTCTGACTCAGTAGGGTAATGAAGTCACTTTATTCTCAGTTTACTCTTCTATTACATGGGAAAATACAGTGAGATTAGTTCAGAGCTGAAGGCAGTAAATAACACAGTCAAGGGTAATTGAAAAGAAAGATTATTAATTAAGCTAACTGTGTTTTCAGAAACACCCAATGTCAGTCAGAGGGCGCAGGGGAGGTCTGAGGTAACCTGCTCCCTGTAAGACTAGTGGACGTCAGACGTAAGCTTTTATAACCTCTGGCTGTGAGAGGCGTGATGCTTCCCCGGCGGGTTCTTGTCCAGGAGGAACGTGGAAATTGCAACTGCCTCCTGTGACAGGAGCAAGCTTGTGGAAGCCTGGAGCAGGAGAGAAGAGATGGACGACCTTCGTGTGTGTGTGAGACCACAGGCCACCCCAGGCCCTGGACACCAGGCTCTGATCACAGTGCACAGGCAGAGAAAGAGCAAGCACTCAGGAGCTTAGCAAGAAATCCTGTGAAGATGCTGCCTTTGTTCAAAAACTGGAAAAAATAAACTTCACTTTTTCAACGAGACTGAATTCCTGGGACATGTGCACCAGAAATAAAGTACAACTGGAAAGATCGTTACAGCAACGTCCGTACCTGGACACAAGAAACAACTGAAGAGCCTCCTTCCAGGAGGACAGACACACCTGGACCGACGCCCGGTGGAAAGTGAGAGCAGGAACGCTGAACGGGCGCCACCTGTGTCGGCATGCATCGATCTCATGAACCAACATCAAGTTAAAAAAGCATGTTGCAACGAGCACACAGAGTAAGATGAGCTTGATGTAAAATTCTTAAAGCGCGCAAAACAGCACTGCATGCTGCTCAATGATACCAATGTGCCTGTTAACACCATCAAAATACATGCACTCAGCTCAAATTCAGAACAGGCGCTACCTTCCCTGGGAGGAGGCAGGGAAAGACGGGAGGAAAGCTCCCTCTGCTTGGCTCCTGGCTTCAGCACCAGCTTTCAAAGCTGTGGTCTGAGTGAAAGTGTTCTTCCTTCTTCCTGGGCACACGCAGTGTATACACAGATGGCTCCCTGACCACTCAGGGTGAAATCCAGGTCCCTGGAAGAGGTGAACACCACCCCTCTCCCCCTCCTTTCCAACCATAGTCCCACATCCACACCCCCCAACAGCCCACAATCTCACTCCCGCAGGGCCAAGCATCCTGCAGCCCTAAGGCCTGTTGCAGCTGCTGCTCCCTCTGCCTGCACCCTCTTCTCCCTGCGCTGTGCACAGTCCACCCACTCTCCTATCTCTCACAGTCAGCGGGCCTGCCTTGCGCCCTACTGAAATAACCCGTCCTTCTCAATCCCTTTACCTTCCTGGTACTTCCTTCCTCACAGCGGGAGGGCCACGACTCAGCATCGGAGATGGGTTTGAACTGCCACTCTCCCAGCTCTGTCAGGAAGCACTCTGTCTCACTCACTACTGTCCCAACACTGCTTCCATGGGTGCTGGATGTAAACAAACTCACCGCTGGCTGATCAAGGAATGTGTATTTCATTCTATCCATACTTTAACCAGCTTCCCCCCACTTATTCCAATATATATGTACCTTCAATGTTATTAAAAACTTTTCCTAGCATCACTGTTAAAGCTACAGTGGCACAGTATCCCAACATACTCATGGCACACAGCAGAGTTGGAGAGTCCATTGTTAGAATCTGACCCTTTAAATAACTGTTTCATCAAAAATAACCACAGACATTCTTTAGACTTTGTGACCAATCATTTTCTTTGGGATATATTCCTCAAATAAAGACGTGCATCGATAGGGCCTCAGGTGTTGTTACCAAACTGTACAGCCCAACGTCCCTGTCAGCCTTGCTAATTAGTTCCATGGAAAAGATCTACCCTGTAACTCTGTATTCATGTCACCTACACAGTGACTCATTGCTCCCACCTAGCCAGTCTCTGTGAACAGGATGGTAGCCGGGCGGGGGCTGGCTCGGCCTGTCCCATGAACCGGAATCCACCCGTCTTCCAGTCCCTCTGTGAGGCATGGGCTATGCAGACCAGAGCAGGTAACAAACCCCTGAGCACTCTGCTCAGATTCCAACTCTGAAAGGCAGCAGCATTGTAGTGGGAACCCAAGCCCTACGCTGCTCTATCACTAAAGGAATTCTCTCCCCAAGATTTCCCTGCCCGTTTACGCTGATCGTCTGCACCAAAGGGAGCAAACAAAAGCAGTGAATTTTTCAGGTCAAAGTAAGAAAGAAGTTACCCATTTGTCTATATAAGCTGAAAATTAACAAAAACTATCAGCAAATAACATAAAACTATTGAGACAGTGTGTGTCTGAAATGAAAATATCCTTAAGTTATTACTGCCTTTCAAACACCTGTATACACTGAGTTGTCAACCGGAAACTGTCTGCACTCTATTGAGATACTTGAGAATTGTCACTGTCAGCCAAAGGTAAACATGGCCCATCTGTCAAGACGTCACGAGTTACTGAGTGGACCCCACATGTCATTCCCAAGAGCTTGGTGGGCAGAGGAGAGAGCTGGGCGGGGAAGAACCTGCTGTCCCAGGGCAGGTGCATAAGGCCCAGCAGAAGCCCTGCCCCACCGCCAGCTCTGGAACTTCTTTTGCCGACGGCACAGCTGTAGGGCTGCGAAAGATTTAAGCAACAGAATTCTGTAACATCTTTTTTAAATAGTTCAAGGATACACAGCAACACTATCAGGCTTTTAAAAATCTGGTCTAATTTATCTAGTAACCATTTCAACTCTTAAAACTATATTCTAAATATTTAATAATTTAACTTAATTTCAAAAATCTTTTCTTTTACCAGAGGAGCCCAGTAGGTGTAGAGATAGCCTATCTTCAGTGCTGGTACAAACTGGGAGCAGGAGACTACCAGAAAATAGAGATTCAAGAAGAACTTGAACTGTTCATACAAAACCTAAAAAGGAAAGGAAAAATTAGCAATCTCTCCAAGAAGCATCTTTAACATCTCATTAAATAATTAAAGTCAGCACAATACCTAACTGACAGCATTTCCATCAAAGAGTAAACATATGCCCTGGGTCACAGTAAATTTAATAATTCTGACATTAGCTTTCCAATAATTAAATCATATATAATGAAAGGTAAGGTTCCCCCACACTATATTTAAAACAAACTGATGAAAGGACCATTAGAACATTCAACTATGTTAAAAGTGTCCTAGAAAACCCTTTGATCCTCATGGGCTGAGTTCCAGTTTTCCACCCTCCTCCACCTGTGACTCTTCACCCGCAAAACAGAGCAAGTGTGAGTATGAGCAAAGCCTTCCCAGTGCTAGCAAGTCAGCAAACACACATGCGCGTGTGCATCTTGATAATTCAGGAAGGATTATAGTGGAAAAGGCGTGTTGACCTCACATTTATGAAATGGTAAAAAATAAAATATGAATGTGGACATCTGGGTAGCTTTACAAAGACTGAGAGAACAAGCAGAACATACACAGGCGTGACTTTCCCCCAAAACTGCCCTAATCTCGTCGAAGTATTTACGTCCCTCAAAGTATAAGAAATGATAAAATATAAAGTTATGGGAATCACAGGCCTGTAGGCCTGTATTCAAGGAGGCAACTACCTTTGCATTCTTTACAGTCCCCTGGGAGTTGATCGTCCACAATACTTTCAAATATAAATACCCTCATTCAATAAAATTTTGGGAATGAAAATCCTGCAACTTTTTGTTTTTGCTTAATTCAAATAGTATTATCTTTAAGGAAGAAAAAGAAGATCTAGTATATTAACAGGCCTCTACTTACAAATTCTCAAATTAATAGATTTAAACTGAAAATCAAATGGAACAAAACTCATGTTTATGATGAGAATAATGCACATAGCACACTACAATTAAAATAAAACTTATCACAAACTTGCAAATCCAAATCTCCTTGGATGCCATTATTTATGCAACTCAGAAGGTATGGAAATTTTAATAGAACAGACCACAGGTTAAGCACTTACTGTTGACTTAAAGAGTCACAATGGAGTTATCTGCAGCATCAGTCTTGTGTGTGACTGAAAAATCGGTTATATTGATAACACATTATGTTCATAATCATGTTCAATTGCTGTCTCAAAATGTTTGGAATCATTTCATAAATTGATCTCAGCAGGACAGAAAGCCCCCTTTCTCCTACACAATTTCTTTAAAATCTCAGTTAGCATAAATTATACCTATTAGCAATTCAGAAATTGCCATTCATGCTAAAAATGGAATAGAATTCCTACTGTGCAATTACCAAATGTTTCTAAAATAGCACGTTTTAGATGAAAAGACTAATTTAAGAGACAACCTAAGAAGAAATCACTTGCACAGTAATAGTTGTGCAGGCCATCAACAGGTGCCTTCAGGACAGCGTGGGGCGGGCTGGGTGGCCCGACTGCTGGCAGGTAAGCTGCACTGCTGGCTTCACACCACTGTGATCAACACCCGACTGCTGAGTGAACCTTGTGACCCTTAGGAAAATGTGCACTGCTTGGCCCATCTATGAGCATTTAATAACTTAACCCTAAAGAGAAAACAGTAGCTTCTTTCATTAATGATGAGAATATCTACCTGCCTGAAAGACACTTTGCATTTTATTGTCCTGACAGATCAGTCTCTTAACTGAAGCCATCAGTTTTGTGTGTTTTAATAAAGAATCATAGTACTTATCAAGCCCTTGCCAACTACTGCATGACTGGTGGACGGTTGAGGGGAGGGCAGTCAATGCCTACATGAAGTCGGCACGATGATTTAAATGAAAACAAGAAGGACACAGTAGCCCTCATGTCACATAATCAAGACACTGTCTTGCTAAATAGCCTAAGAGCTAATACCTAGAACATGACAAAAACTCCAATTCAGAAATATAATCAGTACCAGCTTCCTTTCGACTTAGAAAGATAAATAAATCTATCACTAAAATAGGGAATCATGCACCAAAACAAAAATTGTTCAACTATTTAGTATTCTAAACACACATAAACTCAGTATTGTAATTTAATAAAAGTAACAAAATACTTAAACTTCAGTATTTAAAGTTAAGAGCGCCTAATTAAAGATAACTAATGACATAACAATGTACTGAGGTGTGAAAGTTGTAATGTGAAGATAGCCGTAAATGCTGAGTCACATACTTAAATCCTGTTACTTCAACTACAAAGCTCCAGACAGGTGTCAAACACTAGATCCCACTTTCCCTCCAAATACCCAGCCACACAAAATTTATGACTTGCCAAGCCAGTGTGGCTCAGTGGTTGAGCACTGATCTATGCACTAGGAGGTCACTGGTTCGATTCCTGGTCATGGCACATGCCCGGGCTACAGGCTCCATCCCCAGCAGGGGGCGTGCAGGAGGCAGCTGATCCAGGAGTCTCTCTCATCATTCACGTTTACATCTCTCTCTCTCCCTCTCCCTTCCTCTCTCTGAAATCAATAAAGACATATTTTTTAAAAAAAAATCTGACTTATTTTCTGATAATTTCACTTCGCTTTACTTGATTAATTCTACAATAATATAAATATGATGTTTATCTACAACTGAAGGCAATCAAACTATAAATTCTCTTCAGGTGAACTCTATGCTATACCCATTAAAATGCGTATGATTTAACAATTTGAACATGGCTGAAAAACAAAAGGATGTGACACAATTAACAAGGAAAAAAATTAAAAAACAACAATGAAAACCAAGGAAGCAAGCAATCTCTGATATGCACCTATTTTCAAGAACTTAACAGTCTTACCCCAGGAATAAAGGTAAAGACATTGTATTTCTGATTTTTGATGGAATTTCTGGGGTGCTTCTCTTCACACTTCTCAGGATGTCCGAGCCACACGGTGCGAGCTCTCAGCTCTCTTTTTCTCTGACAAACATTTATCAGCCAATCGCAGCAACTGCATGAAACAAAAGAGGTATGCTGTGTATGCTTTTTAAAATTAATTCCACACATTTATAGCCAATAATGACTGCTTCTGTACTTACAAGACGCCGATAGCAATCTGTAGAGGTTTTTTAAAATGGGTCAGTCTTACTAATCCACACTTGATGTAAGATACTGAGAGAGACTTGTGTAACTGTATAATGACTTCTAGAACCTCAAGGAAATTACCTTCCCAGCTTAGACCTCTTCTTGGCAAAATAAAACTACCAGCATTCCAAAGCCGTCCGTGCCCCGCGTGCCGAGGAAAGGCTCGCCGGTCCTGGTGACTTGTTCACTGCTCAGTGCTTCCACATGACCTCCTCATCATGTAATCACTTTTTCCCTCTTAAAAGATGACTTTTCTAATAGCATTAATGTAAAATGAACACTATGGCTCAACTCAGTATTTAAAATCACCGGGATGGTCTAATGATAGTGAAAGCTTGACTGTATTTTCATGCAGCCGTCTTCATCTCGGCAACAAATACTTTACTTCTAAATCAGCCTCGCTCCAGTGCCAGGGATCTGGGAGCATGGGCACCTCCCTGCCTGAATGTCCCAACCATTATTTTTAGGGAGAGTGTAAAGATTCCAGTGGGTTACTTTTCTTAAAATACTATCTCTCACCTTCCTCTCCAGCCCTACACACCTTCCGACACCCATGTACCGTGCTGTTAGCCAGCGGCCTCTCCCAGTGAAGACCCCACAGCTAAGCGCTCAGGAGAGCTCCCTCCCAGCTGCACAGCAGCAGGTCCAATCCACAGTCTCGGACCCAGTACAATGCCTGTTCCTGTGCACAAGCCCCAGTCCCATTACACACGTGCACATGCGTGTTACCCAGGCTAGGAGGGGCTCTTTCTTACACTGTGGACTGAATCATAGTCTCAGACAGCTGTCCACATACCACACAGATGCCGTATGCCCACATCTTACACAGGAGAAAACTGGAGGCCAGAGGGGTATGATTCCTCAAAGACCAGCACTGGTGGTGGCACAGCTGACCCCAGAGCCCTGTTCTCCCCACCCCCTAGCAACAGTCAGGTGGCTCCTGCTCATTCACAGGCTGCTGTCCTCAGCCTCAGGCAGAAGGACAGCCAGTCAACAGATGACAAAAGTAAATGAACAATTTATAAGCAGAAACAAGACTCACCGGAGAAAACAAGAACTTTAAGTCCTGTTTTAGAGACAACCAGGGAGACCCTGGTCTGTCCGTGCCACTGTGGGGCGCCGGCCAGGGAAGAGCTGCGCACTGAAAATCCTGGCACAGCCACCACCTCAGCACTCAGCCGCTCTGCTGCCACTGTCCTGCCTCCAGTGTCACAGTCAAAGGTCTCCAGCCTACAACACCAACTGCAACACTCCCACGCTGGCCCCTAAGGCAGCCATGACACATGTGGCATTTTAATGTGAATTAAAATTAAATGAAATAAAAAGTCCAGGTCCTCAGTCACATGAGCACATTTCAAGTGCCTAAGAACCACCTGGGTGAGTGCCCACCACACTGGACACCTAAGGTCTAGAACATTCCATTCCCATCGTCACAGGGAAGCTACTGAGCAGGCACCACCCGAGATACGCACTCCCCTAGGCACCTCAAACAGCAAGACTCTCCAGGAATGTGTTCAGACACACATTTTGGTTCTGAAACACATGATTACCTAATCTGATGATTTAATGTACAAAAGTCAGACAAACCCAAGACGATCTAGAAGACAGGCAAATTATATGCTTGAAAAAGTATAAAATTTAGGAAACGCGACTTCACAGTTTGTGCTGGTACCAGCATTTTCTTCTACAGGCAGAAGGCTCCGTAAATGGAAAACCACTGTCTGTGTCACATGAGCACTGTAATGTCAGCTGGGATAAGACCTCAGGCTCCACCCACCGTCAGCACAGGGAACTGGCCCTGCTGACTTCCAATGCCTCACACCCAAACTCTAAATTAAATACCAAGGCCAAAAACCCATACATTCAATAGGTTGTTAATTTTTTTTCTCCATAACCCTGTATAGAATAAACTAAGATTCCTAGACATCTAAGATATAACTAAATTACTCGTAACACTTTGCTACTAATGACTATTAACAAATAAAAGTGTTATTTCTAATTATTTCCTTATGTAAATAGAGAATCAAGTGATGGTCAGGGAGCCACAACCAAATCACACCCTACTTCAAAAAATTAAATGAACGCACAGGCTTGGGGTTAGAATTGCTCCTGGACAGGTGACTCTATGCCCTAAGAACAGACAGCATAAAGTCCCAGATGAAATCCTGCAACCACAAAGGTGTAACCTTTACTGAGTGGAACAGCTAAGGGGGAAACAGAATTCATGGCAACTGTGGACAAGTGACAGGAGTAAAATACATTGCCAAATACTAATGAATCAGAGAGAGAAACAAAGAGAAGTCCTTGGAAGAAAACAGCCAGGAACTTCACGTAATCACATTTCTATGCTGCTAAATGGTTTCTGAATTGTCGACAATTTAAAAGACACTTTTCCATTTACATATAAACCACCTCACATAAGGGAACCTAAATCGAACAGTGCACAAATTATACTTTTTTCTTAAAACATTTTAGGAATAGTAGCTTTTCACAAATGCCCCTATCATCAAAGTGGTATTCTAATATTAAATAAAGCATCTTTATATATATATATATATACACCAAGATCCTGTCATCTAAAATTATAACTAGCCATAATTAAATAACTCTCCAAATTGAGAGCCTCCTTCAAAACAAGGAGACAATTATTACATCCAATGGGCACCTCTGGTTACCAAGCCAAACACAGCCCAGCACTCAGCCTTCTCAAAAGGTCCGCACTTTCCCGTGCCCGTGCTCTTGCACCCCAAATGTGCAGCAGAGTAATCGAATGTGTGCAGGCATTCAGAACCAGGAATAATCCAGCACCTGATACCTCTCCCTTCACATGAAAATCCATTCAGGATCCACTTTCCCAGGGACAAAGTGATTTTTGATAAAGAGTGAAATGGAAATCCCGTGAGAAAGCCCCCCTCACCCCGAACCACACACACATCTGTGTGTCTCACACTCTTACACAGGATGGACAGTCAGGGCTTTAGAAGACAGACGACAGAAAAAATGTTTCAATGTGTCAGAGTTGGAATTTTTGCCAAATAATAAAAATGAGAAAGCAATTCTTAAACCCTGAAGAAATGAAAGCCTCTCATTCCCTGAAAAATTCTAAAGTAAGCCTTCCTACTCACAGGATCTACAGAGATACACTGAAATAGTTACAACTCATCAATATTAGTTGCAATCTACCTGAAATATTTACAACTCATTAATTATTTGCTATCTTCCTCACTGTAATGGTCACCAACATTTCCTCCTATAATTAAACTAAATAATTTCATGTATTTTTCTACCCTTTGATCCATCACCTAATAATATTAGTAACATCAAATTTTATCATGCCTGGTATTTGGGCTATTAAAAATAGCAAATATTGAAAACTGAAATTTTGTAGGAAATAAAGAAAATGAGAACAATCTAAGTTGCTAAGTGTATAATCTGTTATGTAAGATGCAGATTTTAATTTCATTAACAGCCTACTGAACAAGAAGAGTGTGACCACACCTCTGGTCGCCGTGCCCGAGACTCCAACCTGCCAAGACGGTGCACTTAGCTCTTCCTCAGGATCACACTCTGTTAGGATTAAGACTTTACATGCATGTCTGGTATATTCACTGAGCTGTTTTAATGTCCTCCAACCATGGGTGTTTCTGTCCTAACATCTACATTTTCAAATCTGCTCTTAATATTTTTCCTTAAGAAAAGTACTACAAATAAAATACAAAATTTGACTATGTTCCATTTGGTAAAAACAAAATCCGATAAAAAACCAAAAATAATCATTTTAACAGTGTATTCAGGAGAATGAAAGCACTGAAAGTCTATAATTCTTGGCAACCACTGGACGAGATGGGAAGTACCATGCTGCCCTTTATAGTCCCCACCATTCACATGGAACTGTCCGTGGACTTATGGTCTATGCCACCGGGACCCCTACCACTTCCTCAGTGTTCTCAGCAATGTTCTGAAATCCCCTTGGTTACTCAGTGACTCTCCATGAGCATGTGACCAGCCTGCTCAATTCCAAGGACCTTCATGTCAGGTTCCCTTTAGGGGAGCAAAACCAGGCATTTGTCCACTTATAGACTATAAATCAGGGTCTAGCTCACTGGGACCACACCTGCCTATCCCAGAGCTTTCCCAGCCCACAGAGCAGAGAGAAGGGCTGTGGTTTCTCAAGTCAGACCTTGGCTCGGTTTCTGGCCTGGCCCTTCACTGTCACAAGAGGGACTCTTCCAGTTCTTGGCTGTGAGCATGGTGCCACTGCTTGTTTCTTCCAGCAAGTGCACATTGGAGGCAGAGCAGCCCTGGGAACAGCCCCAGCGGCCCCACCTCCCACATGAATGCAGGGCCACATGCCACAGCCATCAGCCATCAGACAGCACCCCTCAAGCTCTTTGCTGCAATCCCCACAGGGGCCCACTCACCCCACCTCTCCACAGTCAGCTCTGGGAGTGCTCAGGCCCTCTCGCTGATAGACAAACAGTAATAAAATTATGCTGGTTCAATACAAATGCATGGTTAGTGGTTTTCCTTTGCTGACTATTGACGATCTCTACCAAAGCATGACCAATTTTCCCACTTTGTTAGTTCTCACCTGGGTCCAGTGCCTCCTCACTCAAATGAGCCCACGTTCCAATTAAGGGTAAGGGGTAGGG